AAATAAAAAATAAAATATGATAGAAACAACTATAGAGAAAACATGGATTAAGCACAATTTAGGGGTTTTTTTTCCACAGGAAAATTTGAAATCATATTGACACTGAAATGCTTCACAGCTCAGCGTTAACACCCCACCGGCTCTTAAATGTTTCTGGAGGAAGGATTTAAAAAGAGACCCAAAAAAAAAAAAAAAAAAAAAAAAAGAGGTCTTTGATTTGTGGAGTTTGGAAAGTCCTTGAGCTAGATTAAACTGCAGTCTTGTGAGACCGAGTATCTCTGTGGGGGCACTCGACAGGAATGCTCAAGAAACTGGAGGAAGCTTCTCTCTGCTTGCTCATGGAGCTATCAGGGTAAGGATTCATCAGGACAACTAATTAATTTTTCTCCTCCGTTTCTGCCTGTTAAGGCAGGCAGGTTTTGCAATGCTGCCTCCTGTTTGTACAAACCAGGATTTGCTCTCCCCGAGCTTCTGATGGAATTGGAATAAAGCAATAATTTAAAACCGACGGGCAAAAAAAAAATCGAGTTCTTTTCCTCCCTAATCCGATACAATTAAAAACAAATTAAACCAAAAGCGACGCTTAAATCACGATTACAGTGAGGCAAACTACGGCACCTCTGAAACCCAAATTAATTTCTCTCAGGTGAGGAAGAGGAAAAGGTTGGAGAGCAGAGCTGATGTTTAACTACAGAGCTGGTGCCCAAACTGCTCCAGGGGCTGGCAGGAATTGCTTTCCTAGAAGGGACACTCCAACTACATTAAAGGTTAAACAAAACAGCCCTGGAGAGCTTAAGGAATATTTAAAGGACTCCACAGGATGTGTTCCAGCTTTTTGTCTATCCAACCTTCTCCAGATGCAGAGCAGACACCTCTGAAGCCTCGGGATCCAAAGGATGGGAAAACCATGAAGCTCCTGGGTCTGGGTTTTTGGGATCCTGCAATCTGCACCCACCCAGGGAATGCTGAGCTGAGCAGAGATGAGGAAAAACGGCATTTTTACAAGGTTAGAGGAATTCTGCAGCTGGAACACGGCTGAGTAAGGAACCAAGTTGTTGGGTTTGATGATTTTAGAGGTTTTTTCCAACCTGAATGATTCTAAACAGCGATTTCCTACTGAAGCACTGTGACAGGGAAATAAGCACCTACAGCTTGGAAGAGCCTTGAAAATAATGTCACTTCTCAACCTACTTCAAGGGATGCAAAAAAATGCTATGAACAGAGCTCTGATCTTCCTGAAAAACCAAATCCCACATTTTTTTTCTGCAGAGGTGCAGAACCCAGTAACCCACCTGGAAATGAAGACCTGCCCCGTTTATCTTTTACACTGAGAATTTCTAATGCATCAAATGCAGAATTGTAATCAATCAAGCTATCAATGCTTGGAATTTGGAAGTGGAATTTGATTTCCCTGATATCCCTGCAGGTATCAGAACACTGAAGTGGGTCCAGGTGTCCTGTCTGGGGTCTCGCTGGAGATCTGGAGGCTGAGCAAGGAACGGGTGGGATTTCTTCTGTCAGACCAAGAGAAAACACCATGGGAAATTCTGAAACTGTGAGCAGTGAAAGTGTTAAACACCCACGGGTTCTACCTGCAGTATTTGGGTTTCAGAGTTTTCTCTGCATTTCTCCAGTCACAGAATCATGGAATTGTCCAAGTTGGAAAAGAGCTTCAGGATCACTGAGTCCAGCTGCAAACCCAGCACCACCCCAAGAGCCACATCCGCACTTTTTGGAGCATTTCCAGGGATGGGGACTTCACCACTGCCTTGGGCAGCCTGTTCCAATGCCTCACAACCTTTTCCACAAAGAAATTTTTCCCAGTATCCAACCTAAACCTCCCCTGGAACAACTTGAGGCCGTTCCCACTCCTCCTGTCGCTGTTCCCTGGGAGCAGAGCCTGATCCCCCCGGCTGTCCCCTCCTGGCAGGGAGCTGTGCAGAGCTAGAAATTCCCCCTGAGCCTCCTTTGCTCCAGGCTGAGCTCCCTCAGCCCCTCCTGGGGCTCTGGGGATTGCATTTCTAATTCCTATTTATACTCTTTTTGCATATCCGGAACAGATTCCGACAACAAAAACTCTCAGCACTTGTTTGAAACCGCACCTATTGCTTTGGAAGCGCAATCCCATTTCACAGGGAATTCTTTCCTGTCCCACCATGAGAAACAGGGCCACATCCAGGACATCTCCCAGGCCAGGCTCCTGCTTCCATCCCTGCAAGTTCTCTTCCAAGCTGGAGTGCTTGGAAAGGCTGCATGCCCATCCTTCCCGGCGGGAATCACCGCGTCTCCCGGAGCTGGAGACAAACTCAGCGCTGGAATATCCAACCGCTCTCAGCTCCCAAATCACAGCAGCCCGGCTGTGGCACGAGGAACTCCATCAACAACCAGTCCAGCCCCGCCTTTGGGCCAGGATCCTGCCACGGTGGGAGGCGCTGCTCCAATCAGGATTGTGGTTTAAACGAGCGTGGCTGATTTGGAGCTGGATCAGAGCTCGCTCTAAGTCACCACATGGTGAAAAACAAAAGGTTCTGGCAGTTTATCCCATCGGCACAACATTCTGCCATTAAATTATAATCCCCTAACGACGCCGTTAGCAGCCCCCTAAGATCATTTCTCAGCAAAACCCATCAGGCAGGGTTTGCTGTGATTTCAGAGGAAAAATTTTTGGTTCAATCCTCCTGCTTCTCAAATCGCTCGTTCATCCTTTCTCAGAGTCAATTTAAGTCCTAGAAAACGAACAAACACGGATTTTCAAACCGCCCAAGTGACGCACTGCGCTTCGTGCAGCTCCCTAAGAGTTTAAAACTAGCTCCAAAAATCTCACTACTGCAGAAAATCCAACAATTCCCATGGACAGTTTTTATTCCAGAATGTTCACCCTCCCAGGTTGCTTCAAGCTCCATCCAACCCGGCCTTGGACACCCCCAGGGATGGGGCAGCCACAGATTCTTTGGGTAGTTGAATTAATTGATCCTATGAATTAATATTAACTTGGATTCCTGCCACGTTTTGGTGGAAGTTTTACCGAATCCCATCGCTACCAATAAGCAGCTACCAGAAAGAATCAAGGTCTCCATTTCATCACTTTAAAACATCTCAGGGTTCTCCTGGATCAGTTTTATCTGGCTCCTGGGGAATGACTGAGGGAATTTTTTAAGAATCAAGGGGAAAATCTGATCCAGAATAATCAGTTTTACAAGACCTGGATTTCTAATTCTGAATATTCTGAATATTCTGACATTGAGTGTGTTCGAAACAAAGCAGGTGGAGCTTAAAGAACTTTCACCAGGAGTTTTAACAGCCCTCACTGACCACCACCTCAGGACAATGATGACTTCCCTGGCTGTGGAACACAAAACAAACCTAAAAAATCCCAAAATGCCAGGGGTGAAATTCACAGCCTGCACAAAGTTCCCTGGATAAAGTTTTTTGGGAGAAGACTGAAGCAGTTCTGACCCTGAGATGTGAAAGCTGCCAGAAGGTCACAGAATCCTTCAGGCTGGAAAAGATCTCTAAGATCATCGAGTCCAGCAATCTGCCCCAAAATGAGCTCCTCAGGGCTGGGTTTTAGGACAGTGAGCTCAGATTCAGGCAGCAGCACCCACTGAAAAGAGATTTGAGTGGCAGCAAAATGCAGATTTTAGGAATTTTTTTTGGTTTAATTTTTTTGGTTGTGTTTAATTGGCCTCCTTGAGGATGGAGAGGGTTTTTTGGCGGTGGCAATGAGGCCACTGGTGCTTTGGAATACCCAACCAAAGATGTGTGCAAGAGGAACAACCCGGGATGGCAGAGGTTGAAGAAACAGAATTCCCTGAAAAGCTCCCAAAGAACCAGATCCCCACCAAGAGCCAGGGCAAAGAGCTGGGAAAACTCCTCTTCACACAGAGGATCTTTGTTCATTTCAATGGAACTGCACCCCTCGAGGCCTGAAAACGCCGCTTTAGGCAAGAAATTCAGCTCAGCCACGAAGCCATTCTCTGAGAGGAGGACAGAAATTCCCACTGAGGTCAGCCCAGGCAGGTGGAGACAACAGAAACGAGCACCTGGCTCACCCCAAAAGGCTCAACAAAAATGACAGCGAGGGGCTGGAAGCAGCTGGATGACTTTAGACGTGTTTTGGACACTTCAGCACCCAGCCACTCCACCTGAGGAGCTGGAAATGACATCCTGCTGAAGGCTGAGGAGAGCCTTGGAGGAGACACGGCTCCTTTCTTCCTGCAGGAGCTCCCTAATCAGCAGCATCACCGTATAAACATTAAAAACGAAGAGAACTTTGGTTTTTCAACAGCGCACCATTTTACAGCCTCTTAGAAAGGAGCCAAGTGGTGATACAGTTATTAAAGAGATTTCAGTCTCTTGGCTTTGAGCTGCCTATTTTTTTTTAGGGAGAAAGAAACCTCACTTTTTCCAAGGATTCTGGAATGTTTTCCAAGTGTTCAGAAGGCACAGGTCTGCCCTCAGCTATTTCCTCGTTGTTCAGAGTCGGGGCCCAGCTCAGCTGGGGATGCAGGGAGTGTTTCACTCCAGAAATGTGATGTTTTGCCACTGAAATCCAGTCTCCTGCTCACACCTGGATCTCCTGCATCCCAGTTTTTCATTCTGGCCTTCTGACTGAATAAAAAACGTCTGGGTGAGGTTCAGGTGCTTCGCTGCTTACCCCTCATTTTCCCTCCTTGTTCAAACGCCCTTTTGGCCCATCAGAACCTCCTTGAACGTTTAATTGTCCCTGTCCCAACCCCTGGGAGGAACAACTCCCACACGAGGCTGAGGCTCCAGGACCTCGGCAGCTCCAAGAGACATTAAAATCTTGGATAAACTCAATATTTCGAGCAGAAAACCAGCAGAGAGTGGGACCAGGCCGGTTCATGTGTGAGAGCTCCGAGCTGCAACTTGTGCTGGGGAGGATGTTGGGCATTGTGCTTCATTAGGAAACAAAATATAAGCTTTCCACTCCATTAGGAATGACTTTAGGAGTGAAAGCACATAAGACGACGACTCACCTCATCAACAATGCACTGCAGTAACTGGAGAGGCTGCAATGGCAAGGAGAGAGGGAGGGGAAAAAAAATAAAAATGTATTAGACTATATGCAATATCTTTACAGTGGAGTGGAAAGAAAAAAAATCATTAATGCAATAAAATATAGCAAGATTAATCAACGGCAGCAAACTCTTATCAAAACATTGATGCTCAGGATGTTCTATTATTTCTAATGGTACCTAATCTAATACAGGCAGTTAAAGGTTTGCATTTTCTTCAAAATGCAATTTGCTAAGTTTAAAACAAGGCATTCAAGCATGCAGAGGGAGCAGCCATCAGGAAAAAGAAAAGTGAATTTTTTTCTGAACTCATAAAGCTTACCATTAAAGATCCCTGGTTTTTCTGAATCTGAAAAAAAGACAATATGTAATTAGCATGTCATAATCAAAATGACTCACTTGGACACATTATGATCACTGAGAGAAAATTATTGCATCGCTGGTGGCAATTTGTGGGCATGTGTTAACACAATTTACATAATGAAAATACACAAATGTTAATAGCTCGCTTCTCATTTATAGGCGAAAGTCAGCAGAATGTTAATTTCACACAACACTTTTTAGTACCCTCCAGGTTGTATTAGAATAGGAAGAAAAACCATAATCCATTTCAAAAGGCTGTTTACGATTCAGATATAAATAATGTTTTATATTGCTAGATTGTGAACACTGGGCTTAATGTTGCAATCATTGCTAATGTTATGAAGCTCACTCTTTTTAAATTAAAAACCGATTTATTTAAAATTGAAATTAAATCATAGTCAGAAATTAGAATTTTGGATTACTGCCAGGCTCTGCTCACAATCCCTTTTTTGTGAAGAAAACTTTAATTATGTGGTTGAAGTATCTACTGCTGCTCAGGAAAGCCTTTAATACTCCACTTTTCCCCAAGTTTTTTATCCAGTTTTCCTTGGAGTCTGAGCAGAGCATCGCCATCTACGAGACGGGGAAGTTTGGTGAACTTTGCGTTATTTTAAGCTGAAAAGGGAAAATCTGAACTCCTGAAGAAATCTGGGGGAGAAATCCAGCTGGAGTTTGTGGTGACAGACCCTCCCACTGCTCCGAGAGCTACAACATCTCCTGACCCACATTTCCTGCCAGGAGAAAAGGAAACAAAGGCGGAATCCCAACACAAAGAACCAAACGCAAAGCGCGGAGCAGGGACCTCATGCAAAACACTCAATTTTGGGATGCTGCTCTCCCAGCAATTTCCAACCCATTTTCTAATGGCTGGGGGTAATTAATTAATTGTTCCCTGACACACACACAAAGTTGTTGGCAACCCAGCGCAAGCAGACCACGATCCTGGGTGAAAATGTTCTTTTCTAACCCCGTTTCTTTGCCTTGCCCCTTCCATTCCGTGTTCTCCCCCGCCCGGTGCCGGGATGATGAATGCTCCCAGCAGCTCTGGAAGCTCTTTCCCCATCCCCAGCCAGGGCAGGATCCTCCTGGAACACTTTTCCAGCAGTAAAATGGGACTGGGAGGAGGGTGAAGACCAGCACCAAGGAAACAGCTGGTGCTACGCACCTCAAGTCCTTTATTAAGTGTATTAGCAGCACACAGATATGAAGTTCCTGAGTATAATTCTATTTTTTTCCAAGGAGGAAAATACAACAATAAACAGGCAGAAGCAGCCCATTATATTTTTTAATGGTCAATCTCCATCTACTACAATTCAACAGAATAAATCTGCTGGTTTTGCTAATAAGCAAAATATTCTGTGGCTGTAAAAACCTTTTCTTATTTTTTTTTTTTCTTCCCCCCGCTTCACTTCCAGATGTTAAATGACAAAATAGACTGAGCTTATTCAATAGGGATGATTTGGAGCTTCTTTACATTAGAGCACAGGAACAGTTTTTATCCAAACAGATCATCAGTCACATTTCCTTCCTGGAAAAATAGCTCTTGTCACGGAAAGGAATCGAGGTGGGGTCACACGGAGCGGCCCCAACACGGGTATGATTACATCCAATTTCAGAGCAAGATTTAAAATATCATTTCTAATAAAAGCACTCAGCCCTCCTAATGAAAAATCAAGCACCACAAATCCAAGTGTTAGGGAATTCTCCCCGTGACACCGGAGGCTCCGCCGGAGCCCGGCCCAGCCGCGGCCTCGCTCCCACACACGTCGTTACCAGCCTTTATTACACAATTCTGATGGCAACAAATTATTTGGAGATCATCTTCATAAATTTTGCATTAAGGTAGCTCTGCCACTACCTGGAATTGATTCAAAACGCTTAAGACACTCAATTACTTTTTAACACTGTTACCCGCTGTAACGACATCGCCGCCGTTTCCCCCGCATCTGATGATGCAACATCATTGTAATTGATTCATTTTCTCAATTAAACGAAGCTCCTGCGCTCTCCTCTCTGCAATGCCACCGAGACTCCCCTCTCAGATGGATTACCTCTCCTCCCTGCCCCGGATAAATGGCTGGTGAGGCCACGCTCTGCTCCTCCCTTCCCTCCGCAAAGCTGCGGCCGTATTTTTCACCCCGGGAGCGGGGCTGAACTTTGCTGTATTTATATTAGGCAGATTTTTCACCGCTAAAACCACGTTGTTTACCTTTTCCCCAGCTCCCATGATGGGGCAGCTCCAAAGACCATAAAGCAAAGCTGAGAGGCGACAACTTTACGGCCGGGGCTTCTCCTCTTGCCCACAGTTCAGGGAAAAAGGGAAGCAGAAGCTTTACTGAGCATTAACAACCCTTTTAAAAGGGCTCAGCGTAAAATCTTGTCTCGTTTTCGTCTCCTCCCCCAAGGGTTTGGTGCATTTCTGGGAGAGGAGAGGTTTCAGAGGTGGGTTTCCCTTGAGGGAACTAAGGGCAGCGGCTGCAGCTCAGGAGCTGCAAAATTTGGGGTGTTCCTGCCCCACGTGATGCCCAAAAAACTTGGGGATTGAGGAGATGGTTGTGTTTTCGTGAGGAATTTTAAACAGTGAAATTGTAGCAGTGACACAAGAAAACCCAGAGTGGAAGGAAGACCAAAAAAAAAAAAGCAGGACAAGTTTTGAGAGAAGGGAAGGATCCAGGGAGAGCTGGGAATGTTCCCCTGGAGAAGGGAAGGATCCAGGGAGAGCTCAGAGCCCCTTGCAGGGCCTGAAGGGGCTCCAGGAGAGCTGGAGAGGGATTTGGGATAAGCGATGGAGGGACAGGAGCCAGGGAATGGCTCCCAATGACAGGGGGCAGGGATGGATGGGATATTGGGAAGGAATTCCCAGCTGAGAGGGTGGGGAGAGGCTGGGCTGGAATTCCCAGAGCAGCTGTGGCTGCCCCTGGATCCCTGGAATGTCCAAGGTGAGGTTGGACGGGGCTTGGAGCAGCCTGGGATGGTGGAAGGCGTCTCTGCCCATGGAAGCTGAACTTCAAGATCCTTTCCCAACTAAACCATTCCAAGATTCCATGAGCATTCCCCACTCAGAAAAATCCCTTTTAGCCTCTCAGCACCAAGACTGTCCCTCAGCCACGCCAGAACACCTCAGACATCACCAGCACCCCCTGCTCAGAGGCTTTTCCAGCCTTTCCAGCCTGGATTTGCGGAATTAACTCCGCTGTTTGATACCTCTGAACCCGCACAGAATTTTCTGTGGATTTACCAACCGCAGTTCATGGTTTCCAGAAATTTCTGCAAACAAGCAATAAATCCGTCCCATTATCAGAGTATTTCTCAGGCCACGGAGCCCCAGCGGAACCTGGATAAACCACTCCGTAAAGCACCGCCTCCAAAAGAGCTTTTTTTCCTTATTTCCACCCCCAAGGATGGTCAAAAATGCCAAAGTTTGTCTCCTGCTTCATCTCCTATTTAATGAATGCCTCTGGTTATGAAAGGCAACTTCTGACAGACCATCAGGTTATTTTTCTGTCTCCATGGAGATCCTTGGGCCGGGAAGTGGCTGAGAAGACCTCTCCCATCCCCTTCACACGGCAATCAAGGAAACTCAAATGAATCCACCCCGGGTAACTTGGAGGAGTCACCAGCTACAGCTTTAATTTTCGCTTTTACTCCCTGGAATTAGGACTTGCCCTGGAGCTCTTGTTTGAGAGATTTGCAGGTGACCCAGGGTTAGATCTTCCCATAGCAGTTAACAAATTTTCTCTTTACATATATACTGCTTTCCAAGCTCCTGAGAGTTCGGGGGTTTTTTTAATAGAAAAACCCATCTACCAACAAATCATACAGTTACGATTTTTAAGGGAGGCTTCACGAGACAACATTTATTTTCCTGTGGATTTTAAAAGTAGATGGAAGTTATCTTTCATCTGTACAAATGAGGGTTGGGTTTTAAGAGCAAAAAGTAACATCGTGTCCTACCGACAAAAGCTTTATCTCTGCCCTGATATAAAAGGTAAAGGAATATCTAAATATTCTGGTTTCCATGGGGGCTTCACCACCATTCCACAATTCCTGTGGAATTAAAGGATGATCTTCAGATATATTTTACCATTTCTTGCAAAATTGCAATTGCTGATACTTCTGCAAGAAGTCAAAGCACCAAACCAGTGAGAATGACCCCCTTAATTTGTTCCTGATATTCTAAATACCCTTCTCCATCCCCATCTGGGGATTTTGCAAATGGCAAACTTCAATCACTGTCACAAAACAGTAAGGAAAAAGAAATTATTTCAAAATAAAATAAAAAAAAATAGACTATTCACAACAACCTTAATATTAAATATATTCTTACAATTATATTACGCTGCTTTTCCCCGAGGTCTCCAAACAAATTTATATAAAGAGATTATTTCATCCACCATTGAACTGCAGCCACTTCTCAGAGAAATCTCTTTAGCAGAGTTTAGAAACACAATTCAACAAAGTGGGCACGGAAAGCTCCACACCGTTGGAGGAACTGTGGTGCCAAGAACTCATCCCAGCAATAATTCCTACACCAGAGTAGGGCCAGAATACCCTGACAAAAATTCCCTTGGTCAGCAGGAGTGGGGACAAGGGAAAACAAAAAAATCCAAGTTTAGAAAATTGCTGTTGAAAATCTTGGAATGATTTAAGTTGGAAAAGGTCTCCAAGATCACCAAGTCAAATCATCATCCCAAACCTTGCTCCCAACCTGTAGGCCTGGCTCCCAGAACCACAAAAAGTGGGCAAGGAGAGCAAAGAATGGTCAAACAAACACCAAACAAAGAGCTGGGTTTTGATCCAGATCTTGCTTTGTGCCACCCAACAAAGAGGAGCAGCAGGAGAACTTGCTGCACACCATGGGAGATGGAAAATGAGCACAACTCAGCAGGAAAGAAATCATGGAATCCTCTGAGGGAGCCATCAAACTCCAAACCCCCAAAAAACCACCAACGGGATGTCCAGGAAGGACAGGTAGAACCGCTCGAG